CAACACAGATATAAAAAAAATTGAAGAGCTGGATCCATTTTTTAACGTTCGTCCTAGAGATGCTTCTGGATCTTCGGGAAAATTAACGAGACGTGGATTTTCAGGCAACTTAGACTTCATAAGAGAAAATGATGTCAGTGATGGCTTTGATGCAATTGATGGCAATACATATTGTCGAGTTATATATGATTCCGCTAAAGTTTATCCTGATTTGAAACTTATATCGCCAGTTTTTGTCAAATTATACTATTACTCTAGTCGATTGTGGGAAGAGAATAGTTTGATGTGTTTAGAGATCCCCGAAAAAAAGGGGTAGTATGGAATGTTCTTCAACGAGCTTTTAATTAACGAAAGAATTGCTACATCAGAATTCTCTTCTAGTTTTCCCAAAATCCTTGTTTCTGGTTATTGGAACGGACTATCCGATCACCCGATGCATATATTTGAATACCTAGGGAAGGAGGTCCCAAAAGAAAAGTGGAACAACAAAGAAGTGTACCGAGTTATCAAATCAAGACTTAAAGAGCTTCATCTGATAGGTATTTCGCATAATGATGTTAGGCCGGCCAACATTCGTGTTTTTATGTCCTAATTCAGGACAAGAGCTGAGGAAACCAAGTTGTAATGCCTCCGCAATATAAATACCAGCAGACTTGTGAAATAGATTCGTGAAGTCACATGATCTATTGTACTCAAGCAAATCTACAAATAAATTGAAAGAATTATACGAAAAGTACAATAATTATTTCTCTGGTGAACAATTATTTTTTCGAATGAATGTTACATAGCCGTGTTATCAAACCAATTTGACACTTACATAATATTGATAATTGGCTAATCAATTTCGTAATTATTTGACACATGCATATACTGCATATTGAATTAATTGATGCCTTGCGTTATGATAGGGATTAATTTTCCATTTAATAGATGAAGGAATTAGTCAATGTGCGTATACATATTTTCGTTTTGCCTCTAGTAGAAGAAACAAATCTCAAGAATGCTGTAATGGAAAAGCACTGAAAAAGCATCCATTTAAAAAGATAGAGCTGTCAAAAGATATTTTATCGTGCGTAGTATTTTATGCATATATGTTTTAAGCACCAGCTGCTTTTGCGAAGTTCAGAAATATATTTTCAGCCACCATACTATTCTGGGAAATGGCCTACTCAAACAAAATGGAGCCTTGCACGGCACGATAATTCTAACCAAAAAGATCTAGATAAGATATCACAGTAAGAGGACAGAAAAACTATTAAAATGCCTCCTCTAGACTTCAATTTTTAATTCTAAATGTATTAGACTTTAATTTTGTATCAAGACTAGTATCAAGAGATGCCTCAACTTCAAGCTATTACTTCGGCTGCCTCAACGGTATTGTCTACAAATGGAAGAGTTTTTGATAATATGGCTAGAGAGAATGGAGAGGAAAATTTCAAGATGTTAGCTTAGAAGAAATTCTATATGAAGCTAAGTTACAAAGAGAAAGGGAAAAATCTACTGAGTGGGGGGAGGCCGCTCCAACTGTTCCGATGATAAATCTAATTAAAACCATTTTCATGGGTAAGACTAACAAGGAAGAACCAACAGGGCAAGGTAAAGAAAAACCAATAGAACAAGACAAAGAAAAGTACGTGGCTCTTGAAAATGAGGCAACTCAAGATTTGATTTCAGAACCAACTAATACCAGTATCGATAATGCAAATAGAATGGTAAAGTCTGCTTCTTGGGGCTCGGTCTTTTTTTTAATTACAACTGATATTCTTGGACCTACTAGTGCACCTTATTCTATCTCTCAACTAGGATATGTTCCTGGAGCATTATTGTTTTTCTTATTTGGTATTGCTGCTATGTACTGTGGATATCTTTTGTGGAAGATATATTTAAAACTTGATTCAGAAAAGTATCCTTTAAAAACTTATGGTGATATCGTTGGTCGTATTTATGGTCCTCGTGTAAGATATGGCGTTGATTTCCTTCAGTGTCTTCAATTATTATGCAGTGTTTCTGTTATAATTCTAGGTAATGGGCAAGGTTTATCACAAGTTACAAAAGGAAAAGGTTGTTACACGGTATTAATTTTAGTTTGGTCCCTTGCTGGTATGATAATTGGTCAAATTAGATCATTGCAAAGATTTGGTTTCTTAGCGAATTTAGCCATCTGGATGAATGTTTTCGTTATTATTGCAACAATGGCTTCTGTTGCAAATTCAGCGCCAAACTATGTAGCTGCAGCAGGAACAATGGGTATAGAAAAAGGGCCTGTTATTACTAAAATTATCATGAGTGGGTCTGGTTCAACTGCTTTCACAAATCAATTATCTGCATGTATGAATATAGTATACTCGTATGGTGGTGCAATGGTTTTTGTAGAGCTCATGTCGGAAATGAAACGTCCTTGGGATTTCTGGAAAGGAATGATAACTGCTCAAGTATTTATAAGTATTGTTTACCTCTTGTATGGTTTATTTGTTTATTCTCAGCAAGGGCAATTTGTGGTTAATCCTGCAAATCAGGGTATAAGTGCATATACAATGCAAACAGTCGCTAACGTAGTTAATTTGGTTTCAGCTCTTATTGCTGCTGGGCTCTATGGTAATGTCGGTATCAAAGTTTTTTACCAAACATTCTTCCAAAAGGTTTTCCATACTCCAGATATTACTTCTAAAAAGGGAAGATATATCTGGTGTATTGCTATTATTATGTATTGGGGATTTGCATTCATTCTTGCTTCTGCAATTCCACAGTTTTCAGCTTTAACAAGTCTTGTGGGTGCAGTATGCATTTTGCAATTCACATATACCTTTCCAGCAATACTTATCTTTGGCATAGATATGCAAATTGGTGCACTAGCAGGAGATGGCGAGTACGATCCTATAAGTAAGTCAACAAACCGTGTGGATACTTGGAAAAATGCATCAAGATGGATTCGTGCCTACAGGGCCAAATGGCTTTTAAATACCTGCCATATCGTTCTTTTTCTTGCTTCCTTAGCTACAGCAATTCTTGGTATCTATTCAAGTGCTGAACTTCTTAAAGAGTCGTTTTCTAGTGGAATAACCACTTCTTTCACTTGCAAATCTCCGGTTGCATGATATAATATGCTCGGTCCTACGTCACTCATTAATGACCGCTAGAGATCATTAGACGTCCAATAAATCTATCAATATTGATGCTCAAAATCCAAGTTATGTGTTACAGATTTCTTGATTATTGGCATATTCTCTTCTATAGGTATTTTTAGTTCTTGCAAATACAGGTGAATAATCTCCGCAAACAAATTTATTTTAAATATAATTTATCTTGTTTAATTCAAGAGTCATAATAGTACTTTCTTCCTCATTCTTTAAAATGACGCGCTATTTTTATCCAAATTTATCTTTATTCTCAAGTAGTTCTCGAGTATATTATACTTTACTGTACTATAAGATAAATCCAATCTTAATATTGGGTGCAAACTGTCAGAAATCGTCAATCAGAAATCTAAATCATTTGATGGTAATCATTGATGTCCATTTTTAGCTGATAATTACTAAAGATATGGATATGTATCAATTGATAATCAAGGGTAGAGTTCTGACTGCTTGACTTCATTATTGCCTATTAGTTCTCTCTCAAACAATCTAAAGTCATATGCTAATAGATAACCACCACTTGAAAACAAGATTACTAGGAGTTGACCTAAAAAACCTATTTATAAATATGAGATCTTTCAGAAAGAACTCAATGAAAGACCATCAAGATAAAATATGGCTTAAGTCTTATGATTAAATACGTTAATTTTGATGACTGGGTAATTATCCTTGAATCCTGTGACGGCCTAAAAGGGCAGCTGTTCGCGTAGTTATCGCCTATATATAATTAGTAGTTGTACTACCCCGCTGATAAGAGGAGTATCGCATAGAACTATATATATGTATGTGTACCTACATTTTGACTATTAATGTAAACCTAATGGGGAAAGATGTTAAAAGAAGAAAAAGGTAGTAATTTTGAGAAGTATAGTGACTTAGCTATACCAGGTACGGTGCATTTGGTAGACTTGGAAGGGATCTTAAACGTTAAGAAGGATAAACATTCCCATTCATTCCATAATATAATTCTTCAACCCCAACCTTCGTGCAATCCAAATGACCCTCTCAGGTGGAGTAAATCAAAAAAACAACAACAATTTTGGTTATTATGGGTTTGGGCTTTCCTACTTGCAGTGGCTGTAAATTGGACCGGTCCAATATGGACTGATTGGACGGTAGAATTTAATTGCACTTTTACTGAATTAAATATTTCGTCTGCAATCTGCTTCTTGTTTCTTGGCTTAGGTTGTGTTTTCTTACAACCCACTGCAATGAAATTAGGTAGGCGGTTTGTATATTTAACATGTACAATAATTGTAATAGTTGGTAACATAATTGGTTCGCAAGCTATTTCAGTTGAGTATTTATACGTTTCTAATTTATTGGCAGGATTCGCAGCAGCTCCTGTTGACTCATTAGTTGAAATTTCTACTACAGATGTATTTTTCCAACATGAACGGGCCGAGTACTTATCCTGGTTTGTTTTTGCTCTTTATGCTGGCTCTGACCTTGGGCCAGTTGCATGTGGTTTTATTATACAAACTATGAGCTGGCGGTGGTGTTTTTATTTTCAAATTATTTTTTTCGCTGTATTATTAGTTGTACAGTTGTTTTTCATGGAAGATACAACATTTGAGAGATCCAAAGATGTTTTAAAAAATTTTGAAAGTTTAAATGTTGATGAAGGAATAACCTCTACTGAAATAGGGGAGATGGAACCATACAGAAATAAAAATGAGAAGCATAAGAATAAGAACAATACTAACGAGATTGAAAATATTTCCATTTCTGATATTTCCTCAAGTGACTCTTTTGTTCCTATTAGAACTTATTGGCAGAGAATGAGATTAATTGAACTTGAATTTAGTGATTCCAGATCTTGGTTTGAGCTATTCTATAAGCCTTTTCTTTTAATCACATTCCCAAGTGTTGTCTGGGGTGGTCTTATATACGGTTCCCAAATGATGTGGTTGTCTTTGTTAGCAACTACCCAATCAGAGATATACGCAACTTCTCCATATAATTTCTCCTCGGCAATAGTTGGCCTAACAAATATAGGTGCATTAATTGGATCTCTTATTGGCATGATATATGGTGGAAAATTTGTGGATTATTGTACCATCAAATTGACTTCACAAAATGAAGGAATATTTGAACCAGAATTTAGATTATGGACTATGATTGTTCCTACCATATTCAATGCAGCCGGTCTTCTTGCATATGGATTAGGTACTGCCTATAAATCAAATTGGACAGTATCTGTTATTATTGGACAAGGTTTACTTGGGTTTGCAATGAGTTCGTCTGGATCTATTTGCTTAACATACGTGGTTGATGCTTATCCTAAAATAGCAAGTGAAGCCTTAGTCTTAATGTTATTTATCAGAAATTGTATAGGCTGCAGTTTCACATTTGCTATTCAGCCTTGGTTGGACCAGTGTGGTTTGAAGCTCACAACTTGGTTGATGTTTATGCTATCTATCCTCATCAACGGTAGCTTCGTCATTATGTTGAAATGGGGCAAAACTTTTAGAAGAGCCACTACCAAAAGATATTATGAATACTGCGGGTCCAGCAGTATTCTTGAGCGGGCATTGCCTTCGAATAATAACGTAGATGCAATAAACAAATAGGTGTCAATAAATATTGCTTAATTCTATATATATCTTCACTAGCTAATCAAACATATCTTAAAAGGTTATGGTTTCATTGAAAGCAGGTTTTCCTGTAATCAACCGTGCATAAAACCCATATGAAATTTCTAGAATCAAGTGCTTCCGTATTTATGTTTTCTTCTTCTTTCGTTTAGACAAAGACTTTATATAATCTTGAATCCCGTTATCTAAGTATTTCAATTTGGAATTTTCAATACTATATATTTCGTTGGTAACCTGAGATATAAAATACTGGTCGTGCGAAGAAATCACTAAGGCTCCTTTATAGTTCAGTAATGCCCCAATTAACGAATCTATCGATAATATATCCAAATGGTTAGTAGGCTCATCAAGAATAAGAATATGAGGAATGGAATCAAATACATGGAGTGCCAAAGCGAGACGAGTAAGTTCGCCTCCACTAAGAAATGATAAAGGACTTAGGGCAACGGCACCTTTGATTCCGAATCCACCTAAATGTGCACGAGCATCACTCTCTTTCTTACCAGGGGATTTATTTAATAAAAGAGATACTGGGGTAGTTTCAGGAGTGCAAGAAGTTAAGAATGCTTCTGCATTATGCTGAGAGAAAAGACTGATTTTAGCATTCCCAGGCCACTGTACTATGCCTGAAGTGGGCTGTAATTTACCAGTAAGTAGACTCAATAGAGTTGATTTGCCGTAACCATTAGCTCCAAGGATTGCGATGCGCGCATTTTGAGAAACCCCTAGGGAAATTTGTGTCAAAATAAACTTTTGACGACTATTATATCGAAACGATACATCATCTAATTTTATCATATCACCCTGGTATCTTAACGGTACAGGGTCTCCAATCCGCCATTTCTGTGCTACTTCTTTTTCTTCTACTTCAACTTCATCTCTGGCTGCATCGTGAAAACCTGGACGATCTCTATTTAACTTAAACCTATGACCCTTGCTGTTTACTTCCATTCCCAAACGATCCATCTTTTTTTTCTTAGAGGCAACAGCAGCCAATTTCTTATCATCTCCAGATTTATGAGCAATGGAACTACTTTTATCTATACTTTTCTGAGCTGCTGTTTTCTTTTTATTGATCGAGTCAGCCATTGTTTGTAAGTATACTTGTCTCTCTTCAAAATTTCGAAAATATTCATCGTAGTTTCCTTTATAATACCTGAGGGTTTTATTCTTTAATACTATTACTTCATCTATTGCTGCGTTAAGGAATGCCCTATCATGAGAAACTAATAATATTGTAGTGTTTAATAATTCCTTGATATATGTTTGTAACCAAAGAATAGCCGGTAAATCTAAATGGTTAGTTGGTTCGTCTAATAGTAAAATATCAGGCTTTATTATCAAAGCTGACGCCAAGGAGATCCTAATCCTCCAACCACCAGATAAATGTTTTAAGCGTGTATTTTGCATTTCATTATCAAACCCGAGCCCGGATAAAATATCTCGGGCATTAGCTTCAATAACCTCCTCGCTATCATATATTGATAACTTTTCATTTATATCATTCAAAATCTCTTGCGCCTTTGCCACTAACTTGACTTTGTCCGCAGCTGTAGGTTCCTTCAAAGTTAACCTTTCCATCTCATTTAACTCCCCCTCCTTTCTATTTAATATCTTTCTTGCATCAGCTCCTCGTGCCCCACTCCGTTCCATAGCGGTCTTTTGTGCGCTTTTAAACTCTTTCTTTTGATTATTGAGTTGAATCTTGTGAACGGATTCAGAAATCTCGTCATCGTCAGCAGATTCTAGAGCTTGTTCAAGAATCTTAGCATCTTGAACTAGTTCAACCCTTTCTCTGTCTGAAGTCATAACTGCTTGAACTGCAGTGAGGTCCAATTCCAGGCCACTTAACAACTGCTCTACATATAAACTTCTAACATTAGAAGGGAACCCCGTCATTGTCTTATATCCAATACATTTCAATAGCGTAGTTTTGCCCGTACCATTGGCTCCAATCAACCCGTAATGAACCCCATTAAACAATTGCAAATCAGTATCAACTAATAAATCTTTATCACCTACTGATACATTTACTTGCTTGAGGTTAATATCATTAGAGAGAGTCTCCAATGTTTCAGTATGAAATCTTGAGACTTGGCTAGTCGCAACAACAATGCTTTTTTTAGCGCTCTTCACGTTCTTTGGTCTCTTAGGCATAATGTGCGTTCTACTGGGTTCAAAACAAACGCTTTCATTACAAAAAAAAGGATTTTTATCTATAGAAATAATAGTTTATTCGTCTTCACGTTATTCCTAATATGGAATTATGATTCATTTTGTATAATCGAAGTCACATGAATACCATATTTTTGGAACATAGATTTTTTACAATAGAAAGGTTTATATTAAACCATTAGTGTATATATACCGCTCCTGCTATTCTATGCTTTAAAATATAAATAAATAACTTTTCCTAACTCATTGATAAAATCCTTATATTTAACAAAAATAAGAGTCTCATTAATTTGAATATAGGATGGTCCCAACGTTTATATTTTATTCAGAAAGTAAGTTGGCTGACTCATTGTCTAATCTAACCATAGAATCATCATACTGCAGGAAGGTACTTAAATTCAAATTTGAATTAATTCACATAAGATATTGAATTTTAGATCCTGTAACTAAATCTCTTCCATTGTCCTTGCGCCACATGCAAAAGGGTCCCGTGAGTGTGAAATATGGAGAATAACAAAATGAATTATTTAAGCTTCAGCAAGAAAGTGATCTTTTGAAATATATTCAGGTTTATTTTTGAGGCTATTTGGAGACCTAATTATCTACTCTTGTGGAAGCTGTTACTTAAGCTAAAAAAATGCCAATGAACTATTGAAGCTCATAAATGATGCATCCCTTAATGCGATGCATTTCAAGTAGTCGTGAGAGAAAAATCTATGAATCTGATTAAATGTACTTTCTTTAACCTTAATCAAAATGTGTATTCACTCTAGTGGACTGACAACTAGAGTTGTAACAGAAAAGGGTGGAAATGAATTCAATTTAATACCCCAAGCATGGGAGTAGGAGGACCCCAACATTGTACAGATTTTGATTACAAATGTCATTCAAAATATAGGCAAGTCATAAGTACAAGTTGAATGTACGAAGGACAGATTTTTAAATAAATTTTCACGTTCACTCGAGACTAAAAAAGAAACTCTAGTAGGAGACTTTACTTATTGGGAAAAGACCTTATTGATAGCAAGAAACATTTACGAAGAGGACTCAAGCAATGAAAAGATTTATGATGAAAAGTCTTGAAATTATGGGCTGACATAGAATTCATCAAATGATATAAAAGAGAAATTAGATACTGGTACAAATAGTAGTGATGATGGTTTTGATTAAAGAGAGCCATAAAGATTGAAGTATTATGATATTATGATTTTGTAAATGGTATGGCCTATTGCATTCAAGGCTCTGATTATACTATATTCCTTTAGTTCTATTTACTATAGAATCTTAAATATATAAGCCTGACTATAATTTAGGTTTTGTTTCTTCTAAAGGCTCTTCTTCATATAATCGGGCCAATGTATTGTGGAAATATTTCGCAGCGATTGCTCTCTTTATTTTGAACGTGGGAGTAACTACATTCCTTTCAACAGTCAATGGATTTATGTCAATGTGAATATTATGCAATCTTTCAAATCCTTGAAGTTGCTTGCCAACGGATGAGTTAATTTTCATTAAAAATTTCTGTCTATTTCTGAATTTGTTCATCTCTACTAGTAATTGGGTATTAGTTATGTAAAGATTTTTATATCCACAAACATCCCGAAGAAATTTCATACCAGAGTTATAATCCACGCCCGCAATACCTACCAAATACGATTTCAAGCGGTCTCCATGAATATATAACTGTGAAAGCATAGGATTAAATGCGAGGTAAATATTCTCTACCTTTTCTGGGGACACATATTCACCTTGAGCAAGCTTGAAAAAATTCTTCACCCTATCAACAATGAACAACCTACCTGTATCACGATCAATAGTGGCTACATCACCCGTGTGGAACCAACCATCATCATCAAAGCATTCTTCCGTTGCCGCTTTATTCCGGAAATATCCCTGGAAAACCATTGGTCCCCTGAATAATACTTCTCCTTTATTTTCTTTGGCAAAGTATCCCATTTCAGGAATCTCTTTTAGCTTGACTTCTTCCCCTATTCCCACGCTTCCACACGAACCCGGCTTACATTCATATGCTCCGCCTTGTGTTGACGCTCCATATGTCTCTGTTAAGCCATATAGTTGTTTTATACCTATATTTAAAGATGCCCTTAAATAGCTAAGTGTCAAACCAGATATTGGTGCTGAAGCCGTCTGGGTCCAAATCAAGTTATCAAAACCTATAATTGATCTAAGCTCTTTGTACGGAGCATAATTATCGTATTCCTTGTGAAGACCCTTTGAACCATCAAACTCAGAATGCTTCTTCAACTTATATGCAATAATTTTATTTATTGACAAAGAAATATCTGTATTTGAACCAGACACTGCTGCTTTAATCACTGACTCCATCTTCGTTAATATCCGTGGAACTAATGATAAATAGGTTGGTTTAAAAAGACGCAAATCTTCAATTAAATTATCGAAAGAATTCACAGGTGTCTGGCTAGTGATGGTTAACTGCGGGAAACCTAAATAATAACCAGTCGTTAATGCAAATCCTGTTGTTCCTCTTTCATAAATATGTGTTAGGGGCAAAAATATAAATGCTCTGCCATGACTGATTTGGGGCATTGCACTAGCGAGGAATGTAATAGAAGTTGTAGCATTTTCGTGAGTTAACACTACTCCTTTAGGTTTGGATCCTGTCGTTCCCGATGTGAAGGCAATGGTGTACAAAGTATTACCAGTGGGTGGTAACTCCTTAATTCGGGATGATTTCCCCAACCTCTCCACATGATCAAAATCATAAAGAGCTATATTTGTAGCTCTAGCCAATTCTACCAATGAACGATCTTCATCTTGAAACCTTGATTTGACACAATCATGAAACAATGGGTCCATCGAAACTATTGTAATAAGGTCACCTAATAAGTCGGGGTAATCTCTTTTCATGTTTACGATTCTTTTAACTTTTTCTTTCGAACATATTAATATAGGACTTCTGGTTAAGTCCAAAATGTATCTGGTGGCATCTGGTCCAAGTGTATCATACAACGAGGTATTCGCAAACGAGTAGGCTGCACATGCTAGATCACTTAGTACCCATTCCAACCGATTAGCCGAAAATATTGAAACAATAAACGACCAGTTTTCATTCTCTTGTGGTCTAGGTTCTCCGTATTTTCGCCAGTCTCTCAAATGGTTGCCAATCTTCGCGTGGCACTTTGAATCCTTCAATTTAAAAGGATTATTTTTCAAGACATGCAAAATGCCCGAACCAAAATCCATCCGCCTTTCATTCACTTCAGAATAAGAATAATTTCTAAACTCACGCTCTGAAACCCCCTTTTCGTAGTCGTACCTTCTGTATCCAAAACACGGTTTGTCTGCAAATAGCTTCACACTATTGTTGAATAGTTTATTAAATGTATTCAATCTTGGGTGTATATTCGAAATAAGCTTCCCCGGCAGACTCTTATTTCTATAGATCAGGGTACAATTTTTACCCCCCGAGCTAACAGGAGTTGCTTCATCTGCATGCGGTAATGGTAGTTTCGAAATTAGCGATGCAACATTTCCATTTTCTTCTGGTCCAAACAAACTATGTGTGAAGTCTTCTTCTTCTTCTCCCTCAAACAGCTCTCCAGTATTAGTTTTCTTGGTAGTCATCTTGAGTTTTTAACTTGATATATAAATGAAATATGCTGCAAAGGTATCCCACAATCTGGGGTACCCATCGACATAGAGATCACATGACCAAATCATTCCCCGATAAGAAATGTTTCACAATCGACAATGCAAGACGGGGCAACCATAGTTGTAGTTACTGCCGCCTATGGTACGGTGGAGAAACGCGAAAAATTGTGTTGAATGGCCAAAATCAGACCTAGCCATCAACAAGCAATCAATACCAATCCGTACATACAGTGTTCTGAGTTAAACAGGCTAGTATTCGTTGCAGTAGTGATTACGTTAACCATATTCATGACGCTGATGCGTGGTAGATAGGAGAGAAAGGGAACTAGAATGTTCCCCCTCTTTTTATTATAATTCGGCTACTGGCGGGTATCGTTCGCAACCCTAAGTCTTCCCCAGCCTTGCAATGCGTGGCGTGCAGATGTATATGATCAGTCGTTTTGAAGTCAACACAAACTACTACTCTTATGTTGGGAAAAGAAGATCAGCAATTCACATTTTTACCATTTATTGGAATATAAAATGTTACTGTTGTTGCCTAATGCGATAGTAATAAATAAAATACTAAGTTAATTTTAATGCATAGGACTGAAAAATGAGTTCAAATGCAAACCTTAGTAAGATATATACTTTCAATTTAGATTAAATTGAAAGTTGAAAGTATCAGACTGCAATGAGTCCTAGAAGGCCACTCCTCTAATCTAATCAAACTCTATAGAATTTTCCAACTATCTAGAAAAATGGTTGAAGTTAAGCCAAGTTCCAGAATGGTTTACTTGAGAGACTAATAGACACATGTATTGTAGTTAGCTTAGGAAAAGTAGTGGTTAGCAAACTGGATGCTTCGAAAGCAAGATGAAACACATATTAGTTACGGTCGATTGAAGTTGCTATTTTGGAGTATAACCACTTATGTTCTTCCTTACTTTACTGTTATGATGATGTTACGTGTCATTCTTAAATAGAGATGAAAGCCAAGAAGAATTTCCCCCAATCTCATCAGTTAAGGATATTGACGGATTCACCAATGATATTAAAGCTGAGTAAATATTATCGTGAATTGAACTGTCCTAATCAAACCCCAAAGATTGAAGTTTGTAACTGGAACTATACATGTTGCAGTTGTTGACCATACCATATGAAACCATAATTGAACTCACAATTGGAAACCTTCCATCTTGTATTGACAATGGAGCTATTTATTGTTTTTATTCGATCTAACAAGATCATCAAGTCTTCCGCACAGAGATCTTCTACAAATCTTGTTATGGTAATATGCGCAGAAGGTGTATGGTAGCGTGGCCGTATGTCTATACCACAGGAGGCTATTGAGTCGTACAATTCCAGTCTATATTTAATGTGACTTCTATCAACGGATGTGAAGCTTAATGCAATTGCGTTCGCATCAAAGCAGATCAATGGATTGTCAAGTTCCGGTCCATTTTCAGTAATAGTCATTAGTCGATCAATATGTGGCAGAAGAATATTATTGATTTCCTTTATTCTGTTTTTGGTAGAAGAGTTGTCAATCTCCAACACCGTCATATGCAAGTACTCGCTTGGAGTGTGCCATAATGCCGAGGAATTTGACACAGATTCCAGTAGCTTATCTTGAATTGAAGATATAAGTGATTTAACATTTTCAGTGGGGCGTGCAACAATACAGCATCCTAATCGATCATCTTCATCTTTCCCAGCGAGTACTGTATCAATATTGATTTTGGGGTTAAACCTGAGGTTTCCAAGTTGTTTGTGATTGCGATTTTGTCGATACGCATCTTCTTGTATTCTATTTTTATAATGGTTAGCAAGTTCTATATAAGGATTAGTCATTTCGTCGTGTTTCACTAAGCCTTATCGTTATTCAACTTCACAATTTTTTCTTCCTTGACTCTTTCAAACGATACTGTGGATATTATATGACTAACACGCAATTAAACATAAAGAGCTTCCAATTTTTCAAGTAGTTTTATTTTATTTAATAATTATAATGGCGTAAATTGTTTTTGTTCCCTGTTTTGAGATATCCGCCCCACGATATTTTTATTTAAACATTTTCTATCACTCATCTTGATTGACAACTTCTACTAATACTTAGACAGTATGAAGGATGGAAAAAAATCTGCTTTTGTTACAGGAGCTTCCTCGGGTATTGGATATAGTACTGCTATCGAATTAGCAAGTAGAGGGTTTAAGGTTTTTGCTGGTGCAAGACGATTGGAGGTTATGGAACCCTTGAAGTCCCACGGTATTACTATATTGAAATTAGATGTCACTTCAATGGAGAGTATTATTGATGCCAAAACCCTTATAGACCAGGAAACTGATGGATCGTTGGACATTCTTTTCAACAACGCTGGGGTTCCGTGTAGAGCGCCTGCATTTGATCTTGAAGAAGACTGGTTTCGTTTCTGCTTTGAAGTGAATGTATTCGGTCCTATGAGAACTGTCAAGGTATTTCACCCGTTGTTGATCAAATCTAAGGGCTTGATAGCGTTTACTGGATCTACTGCCGGGTTGGTGCCTCTTCCATTTAATACCGTGTATTCATCCTCAAAAGGTGCTATACAGTCTTATGCAAACTCATTAGCGCTCGAAGTCCAACCTTTTGGCATAAAAGTTTTAAATTTTGTAGCTGGTGCTGTTGAAACTGATATAGGAACGAATGATGCTCATGACATACCAGAAACATCGGTATTTATCATAGACGGTGAAAATGTTTTTGAAAACGGTAAAGTCCTCAAAAACTTAAAGAAAATGCCTTCTGACGCTTTTGCAAAAAAAGCAGTTACAGATATTGAAAGATGTTTGTCAAGCTCTCATAAGAATTTTTGGATGTCATACAGGGGAAAAAGTGCCAGCCTTGTTAAGCTTCTTGTCTCGTATTTTCCTCGGTCTTTTTTGGCTTATATCATCGTCAAATCTTTAAAGCTCAAGGATTCATTCAAAAAAATAAAACGGAAATATGCCTAGGAAATTTTGGAAGTAATATTTGATATTTGATATAATAGTGATAAACGTTTGTAAGTAATCCAATGAGTTTTATTTTAATGAAGATGGTGAAAAATTGTTATTCGATTATCTGTATCAAATCTATAAACTTAGAACAAAAGCATATTAGAAATCTTGATGTTAAGAAAAGAAACTAAGCATTAGTGAGGCGTAAAATTGAGTAGCACTTGACTCAAAACTTTTTAATCTAGTAATATATAAGCACTCAAAAAGAGAAAAGGTTCAAAGCATATTCTTAATTAACTCTGGACTAATCTAAGGCTTTTCTACACAACTCCCACGTAAACTCTTTTATTATATTTGAAAAAAGTAACAATTCGGCATAACGAATAGTATCTGACACTCTTATAGAGAATATATGCTTCACAAATACAAGATTTTGAGAACTTATCATCACAAGGTAGAAGAAGAGCTTTAATCTTTGATAAAGCCCCTCTCCTGCGCAATGATTCTTAAAGCTAATTTTTTTGAATAATACCTGGTCAATAAAAGGTTTCCTCCCATATACCAAAAGTTTGGATGCCCCGAATCTCTATACATAACTTTGGTTTCACCTTCATCATCAAGACCCCAAACGGGCTTAAGTTTATCAGCAACTTTAGTACCGAAAATTTTTCTAGCACTCTCCCTCATATTTGAATACCCAGTTGCTAAAACAACAATAGCCACATTACTAATCTGAGAACCATCTGAAAATATAACACCGTCTTCAGTAAACTTTTGAATTTTTTGTCCATTCTTAACTGAAATTTTTCTTTCAGCAATTAGCCTAGAACAACCTACGTCAATATAATAGCCGCCACCTCTTCTTAGGTACTTGCCTGGTAACCCAGTTCCACCATATCCATAGTCTATATTAAAGCCAACTTTCTTCAATGAATCATGTAATTCTTTTTCTAACGACGCAATTCTTCTGGTTTGTTGTTGTAACGATAAACTCAATAGTTTCCAAGGCATTGATTGTGAGAGCAAATCTGCAGTTTCAATAGGGGGACCTCCTTCCTCATAAAGTCCCTTGTTAGTCAAGTCACCACCCACTTCTGCTGTGAAAATGCATGTGCTTGATCTCTGAACAAGCATTGGTTTAGCCCCTTGTTCGTAAAAGTCTTGGGCAATATCATGACCTGAATTGCAGCAACCTACAACTAATGCATTTTCACCTTGATATATTTTACCAGTTGTATGCTGAGAAGAATGTACAATTTTTCCTTTAAATTTATGCTGTTCTTCAAATGAAGGAATATTTGGTTCACCTGAATGACCTGTTGCCATTATGACATGCTTTGGTCTCAATGTGTTCATTTTCGCACTATCATTATCTATAATATTCACTGTCCAGGTCGATTTGTCTTCATCAAAATCGGCGCCCGCAACAGTTTTGTTTACCCAGTAGCACAATTCCATACTCTTCGCATAATTCTCAAACCAATCTCCTAATTTATCCTTCGGGGTAAATACAGGCCATGTATCTGGAAAATTCATATACGCTAAGTGATCGGCCCAAACTGGATCATGGAGAACTAAAAACTTATAGCGATTTCTCCAATTATCCCCAATATTTGAATTTCTTTCTACGATCAAAGTGTCTACTCCCATGCACTTCAATCTTGTTGCTATATTCAAACCACTTTGGCCCCCTCCAACGACCAAGACAGTGGGCTGCTTTGAGTCGTCTCCCCAAATAAAGTCTCTTTCTCTATTCTCTAGCCATGACGATCTTTCTTTATGTTGACCATGGCTGACACCTTCAGACCTATTAACACCAAGCGTTTCTTCACTTCCGTTGATACTCTCGAGTCCAGTGTAGACAGAATAAGCTATCAATGTATTGTCAACTGGTATCAATCTGACCACACCCCTACCTTTACCAAATGTATTCTCAAAATTAATAATGAATTGTACCAATTGAATCGGTATTGGTTGTTCTTTGGTTGAATCCTGAATAGTAGAGACACTAACACTATTCTCATATCTCAAGTCAGCAGTTCGATTAACCACTAAATTCTTTAATTGAAAATCTGGCATTTGCGTACGAAGAAACTCCTTAATTTGTTTTAAATCACTGTATTGATGAAAATCCCAACTGAGACATAAATGGTCCTTCCAAAAGGAATGAGAGGCAAAAATACTATCCAATTGATTAATGTTCGATGTTGTGGGGGATTCTTGGATACCCTTAAGCGCAGTAGAGAATTTCGCAACCCACTCAGAAGCAAGCTGAAATAAATCAGAATCTTTTAAAATTTCTGGAGTTGGTTTCATTGCTCCATACACCTGCTCAATGGGAATATCCTTATCGCAAGGTTCATAGACCAATTCTGGATTTACTTCTCCGGCCATATCGATAGTGGTTTGAGAGGATGATTTGCTTGTCGACCTATTTGATTGATTTTCACCTAACATTATGGATTAAGAAAAAAGACTTTACAATTGTTTGGGTTTCGTCAGAAATATTAGACTTTGAAGTTACTTTATAGGTGTAGAATGCTTATATCTAGAAAGGGGGAAACGGGGAATTTAGTTCCGTTGGAAGAAAATGCGGGTGCATTTTTAAGTTATCAAGTTTACACGAAATGGTTTACTCAATATCAACACTCCGATAATTCCACCACGAATCATAGTATTGGTTCTTTCAACTTATTTAAGTATAATGAGGCTACTATGAAGCTACTAATTGGCCGCTTCAACTTTGGTTCTACATATTTCAGTTAATCATGAAGTTCGGTACTTTCAAAGTGTTGCAATTAGTCGTGGATAATTCATATATTTGCAGCAGTTTGCATTTAGAAAGTATAGTGTCGTCGTACAGATTTATCAAAATAAAAATTATGTTTATGTTGCTCAATCAACAGCTATCTAATGAATTGATATGAATTGATATGGCAGTTTGCAACATACAATGCCTATTGAAAAAGCAAATTGATCTTATAAGAAGAGATTCTGCTGACCTTAGTGCTGACCTTAACCGTTATACGCATTATCAAGCAGATAGGCAGAGGGTGATTTCTATTGTTTCATCATCAATTTCAATATTTGCCGGATTAGTAGGGATTTATTTTTTTTTGGCTATATCTGATAGGAAGCGGATCTTTAGACATCATTTGATTATCTTTTTGATTCTATATGACTGGATTAAGGCTATATGTTTGCTATTATACCCTTTACGAGTATTGGTGACATCAGCAGCTTATTATAATGTAGGATTTTGCAGAGTTGTTGGATTCTTTACGGCTTTTTCCATTGAAGGTTCTGATCTCGCAATAATAAGTTTTGCAATTCACCTAGCCTTGTTGATTTATAGACCGAACGACAGAATCAAAAGAGGAAATAATTATGAAGGGGGCTTGTATCGTTACAGGTATGTTGTTTATGCAGTGGATATCTTACTACCAATTTTGCTAGCTTCTTTGGCGTTTATTGATGACTTAGGGTATACACCGCTAACTAATTGGTGCTATATTCCAAGTCGACCAATCTGGTACAGGTTAGTCTTGAGTTGGATTCCCCGGTATTTAATCATGGTTTCTATAATTGTCATATATATATGTATCTATCAGCATGTGACAAAGCAATATAGTAACGTTGGTAGATCCTTTGAAAATAATACCCCTGTCAATGAAGCCACTTTGAAACAAAAGCTTAGTAGTTTTATGAGATTTTTAACGTTCGACCTTACTAATAATAAAATTCATAATGCAGACAACGACTCACAAGAAGATAATCTAAATACTGAGACTGTTGATAAATTTAAGGTCCGGCGAATTCAAGCTCAAAAACAAATAAGCGCTATATTCATATACCCTGTATCATATCTTTTCTTATGGATTTTTCCAACTATAGTTCACGGATTAGACTTCCGGTATGGACTTTCTATTCGTCCATTTGTGTGGCTAAATGGAATTGCTGCTTTTATGCAACCATTCAATTGCACTGTCGATACGTTGGTGTTTTTGATCAGAGAGAAACCTTGGAGGATTACTACTATTAAGGTTGATTCATCTCTAACAGAAGTCTACGAGTATCCTTTGTGGAGAAGAATGCTTTCTTTTTTACCACTCTTCAAATTACCTGAACCGTTGGAAACTCGACATTTGAATTCTCTAGATTCGAAAAATGAGATTAGTACATCAGAAAATGCGAACTCTCGTGAGATTTCAAGTATTATATCAGATACAACTAACACAGGAAACATTGGGCATGTATTGAGAAGTAACCATCAGCATGCTCTCATAGATAATATTGCATCTTCCAGATCAACTGAATCAAACCTCACTCCTTTACAAGGTGAGAGAAAAGAGTATAATCAAATTATAGCTAAAAATAAAGATCACGCAAAGCATCATAATACCCTAAATCTCTCTAATAACCAAGCAATTCCTGAAACAGCAGATGAATTAGGGTTTGAGGAATTTTTAAAAACTGAGCCTGAAACAAAATAATATACATTGAAATAAAAGGAGCAATTGGAGTATTAAAGAATAGAGATAAGGGCAAAAAAAATTTGATCTTTGTCGCACACTTAGGCTAAATTTAAGGTTAAATTAACTGACAAGTATGTTTTAATTATGTATCGCAAATATATTTATACATCTTTGCGTATAATTAAAGCAGTTCCAGCTGTGAATTGTAATGCACTATATTTATAAATCCAAAATAACGAACTTCTGTATTGCACAATAAATAATTCATCAAGAGTCTGTTCGTCCTTAAATTATAACAGAGGAATAGTACCATTGATATAGAACGAGATTCAGCTATTTAGACAACTTCCTCCCTGCATAAAGTTGACAATTGAAGATCATTAATGTTGAAACTTAGCTGAGTATTATTCCTTTGATTCATGAATAATTTTGATGACGCTATAATTTTTTAGATTATCATCTAATCCTGTACATAGAATAGATTCACTTAAAAGCTGATATAAAGACTAACAGAGAATGCAGAATACTTAATCCAAACCACTCCTCGAACCAGTTATTATTTGTAAAACTTTTACTTTTCGATCTTACCTCGGAAATTGCATCTTAAATTATAAAAATTAAAGGATATGATTATTTTTATATAATCTACAATATTGTCGTTTTCTTTAATTTTTCACTCTTTTTGAAGATTTATCTTACATTGACAAAAAAAACATTGCTTGAACCTGGCTATCAATAAGTCCAAACGGAAAGAATATATTATTATACTACAGATGTAAGTATCTTTTCTTGTTCCTTTTTCTGTACTGTAAGAAAACCTCAAGTAATCCCCATCTATCTAGAATCAAAGAACACTAGGCACATGGATAGGAAATCATACTTTACAATCAAAATACTCATAATGATATTTCCAAATCACAAGCTCAATTATGATCAAGAAGTGATATACGAAATTATCAGTAAATGTAAGTTAGAATAATATTAAAAAAATATCTTGAAATTGATTACTAGTTGCTTTTACCCCAATTTCGAAAAGTCTAATAGTTTAACACCAATTATTTTTATCGCCTCAAAAGTTCTTTGAGAGAAGATGGCATTAGCGAATATAGCAATAGCGAAGACTTGCTAACCGCATTGCGATGTGTTTGGTACAGAATCTTCTATAGTATGCGCACTCTTTTGGATGACACATTTTAACATCTATCTTAATTAACGCAGTATAATTTTTTATTTCCTATTTAGGTAAACAACGATCAATTAAATTTCCATATTAAGAAAAGTATCTTTAATTGCATTACTTAGATCGGTTGACGTATGCAGTGCCCCCAAAAACAATCCTGGGAATAACCCTATCCTCCAATAGTATATAAAAACCTTGGCTGTTGTTGACACGAGCTAAATCGTCGTAATCTAAGATTTAGATGGGGTTATAAAATTATTTTTTATTATTCTCTAACCGTAATAGGAAAGTTGGCCATAAACTTGTGATTATTAAATACAATAAAATAGTATATTTAAGGCAATGGTAGTGGCATAATTATTTCTAGCAAATATCATATTACTATATAAGTAACAACATAGCCGTGTAATTCTCGTTCGTCTTTTTTTGAACTGTAATTAAAATGAGATTTATTGGCTTTATATTTGCTATATTGGCAATCTTAAACTTCAATTTAGCAGCTCCCCTTTTTTCTTCAGAAGTAAAGGCTACTAATGATTTCGAAATTAGAGATAATCTACCAGATGCTGTATTTAAAAGAGATGACTTCAGTATATTTGAAGACGATGAAAGCTTAGCTAAGAGAGATGTTGCAGTAATTACAGAATTCTTTACTGCACTTAACAAAAGTGGTTTAGTTGTTCCAGTTGTAAAGATTTTAGCCACAAACAAAGTGACTGAACCTTTATTAGTACAGGCTATTGTTGCATTTCTTAAGACACAAAATTTAGCTGATTTACTTCATTCAGTTGACGAGTCAGGACTCGCTGTTGATATCGTTCTTAGAACATTGCAAGATTCTACTTTTTTCCCTGGATTATTCAATATTGTCAATGGATTGAGAACGGGAGCGACAACAACTCCATCTAAGAGCACATTGGATACTGGAGCATTAGAATCGGCCTTAAGCCCCATTGCGCTGACTTATAGCCAATACCTGGGATTAGGTTCAAGTCTTGGTTCAGCCTTAAGCAGTCTTGGGATACTGACTTCTAGTAGTTCTGGACTTTTGTCAGTTTTAAATCCAGTTTTGTCAGTCGTTGGGTTGAAAAAAGGGTCTACAGGATCAACAAGCTCTACCAAAAGTGGGTCTATAACTTCTAGTTCGACCAAAACTTCAACTAATGCTTCACCAACAAGCACGACTCAAGCTAGTTCGTCAACAACGGCTAAATCAACAGCCACATCTACCCTGTCATCATCATCGTCTTCTTCGTCTTCTTCTTCTTCTTCTTCTGGGGTACTTGCTAGTCTTCTTGCAAAGATTAAATCGACTTTCCTGAAGCGTGAAGATATTTCCACTATTATGACAAAAAGGGATAATCAAGTATTAGATAGTTTAATGGAATCTTTAGAAAAATCTGGGTTAGCAATGTCAGTTTTATACCTGGTTACAACTGATCCAGATATGGCACCTTTCGCAAGAGATTTAATCACTCAGATTGTTAAAAAGAAGGCTATCACATTGGATGGTTTGCTGCTGGCATTGGATAGTACAAATTTGTTGAATGATGCAATCATTGACACATTAACAAGTTCAAAGCTTGGTATCACTATCAGTTAGTTATTCATTTCTTCTAATCAGTTATTTTCATGATAACCTTTACATCGTTTTGTTTTCTTTTAAGCCAAGAACTTACAAAAAATATGTTCCAATATATCCATAATGCTTTCTGTGAATTGTAGTCTGAAGTTATAGTTATCAAGAACTATCTGAGTATAAATCTTTTTTTATCAGAAACTTAACGTTTTCATGTAAAGCGTTGCAACATGAAGGAAAGTGTTTAAGGATGTTCCAGACTGGGCGGGTATACCAATTTGAAAAGAAAAAACTCTTCTGAACACTTGACAAGAGTAACGAAGATAAGATAATTAACGGATTTACAAGTGAATATATATCTACACGAGTGAAAAATAAATTTTATGATTTCTATTATTATGAGATATATATAATTATTAATATTCTAAATTAATTAAGGGGTAATAAATGCTATGAATTCAAGTATATAGAAAGTAGCTTGATTCATCTATTTTTGATTTTCGCTATCCTTTGCAGCTGAACTATCAGGAGCGTAAGCATATTTGGAATAAGTTCTGATCTTAGCACCGTAATAGTAAAATCCAAATGGAATTGCACAACATGCTAATGAGATGAAAGCCATTAAACTCGAGGCCCATTGATAACCTAATCTATGATACATTTGAATAGTGAATAATGGAACACAGGCACCCCATATAGATCTGACAAGAGTTTTAGCTGCTAATCCACTTGCAGCATAGTGTTGATAAGAATCGACAATATAATTATTGGCTGGGTTATACAAACAGCAAAATCCAAAACCGACTGCAAGTCCACTGAAACAAGGTCCAGCCCACGATACGCTAGGATAAGAGGACCATGCAAAAGAGAATAAGCCAGCAGGAACAAACCAACAACTTACCATCATAGGAATCAATCTTAATTCGGCTGGTGGTAATTCCCCTCTATCTCTATAGACTTGTGCTCGCCTATTATAATCTTTATTAATGAAAGGAGCACAGGCGGTAGCAATAAGCACACCAACACCAATTGGAATAAACATAATACCAATCTTAGAATCACTCCAACCCTTACCTTCACCATAGATAACAGGGTAGGCAAAGAAAAACATGTATAACAAGCCGTAGACAACTGACATGTATAAAGTCATCAAAAACACAATTAACTCCGATAATAAAATGAATGGACGTAAGAATGAATCATTACAAACTTGCTTAAAAGTCTTGATTTTTAATTCAGAAACTGCTCTATATCTATCATCTCCAGTATCCTTTCTCAATTTCTTAGCTCTTCTCTTTAAAATTGTTTGATGATGGGTTTCAGGAAGAACAAGGACGAAAATAACATAGAAGAAACCTGCAATGATCAAAAAACACCAATAGATCCATCTCCAGGTTGGTGCATAATCACCAAGCAAACCACCAAAGATTGGACCCATAACTGGACCTAAAAATGGAGCGGCTGAAAAAATTGCCATTGCAGCACCTCTCTCTCTGGCTTCCCAAATGTCAGCCAACGAACCACCAATAAGACACATAGGTGCAGAAAAGGCCAAACCATCAATTAATCTACAGACGATCAAGGTA